GGCGGTTATATCATTTCGCGGGAACGTGAGTCAACGTCGCTGAATTCTTCGCGATTGCTTCGCGACTTTGACTGCCCGACTTCAATGCCCCGCCGAGCGTTCCGCGTAATAGCCTTATCGAAACGTATATGCGACATGTAGGTACCACCGCGGTCGTCTACGTTAACTGACCCGGCCTACTTTTTCGCCACCATATACAGGCGAAGAGACATCGCTTGTGTTACACGACTCGGAAGTTTCTCCCCGTGAAAATTCGTTATCTTACTTTTGATACCGAGCCGTGTCGAAAGCACACCATCACGTGGGCCCGCAGAATCGCCATGCTTTCTAAACGAGAGAAAGTCACCGAATTTGTCATTCTTCGTACCGCCCGTGGATCAAATTTTCTTCGTAATTACAATATCTTCCGAGCAGAAACGAGTCGTTAGTCATTTGCATTGTATCTCTGCATCACGCGTCGATTGCGTCTTTTGCACAGAAATTTTATATTTCTTCAAAATATTACGTATCTATTATTCGTGTCTGTACATTATCAGTGAATCAACATTGTTAAATGTTGAGTTAGATAACATTTTGTTATTTTTAATTAACATGTGCGTGAGAATTTATTATTTTAAAACAAAATAGTATTATTTTAACTCTATTGGTTTAGTCAAACTAACATTGTTTTAGTTAAATTAACTCCGTACTGAGTAGGAGCAGTGGCGACCTATAGCCTAAAGGCTATAGGTCGCCTAAAGGCATGGTTAAAAATTACTCAAATTGAGTACAATTTGACCCTATGAATTTAACAGTGAAGAAAATGTCATAAAATCAATATATGTGTAATATCTTCTTTAGATATACAATTATATATATTAATAAGACTACCAGGTACGAAATCAATGCCCGAATTTAAAAAAAACATTTAACATTTTTGCCTCGAAAGTTGATATTAGCGAGCTCTCACGTGCACGCAACGTGAAGGAGATAAAAATACCGTCGGCGTAAAATATCGGACACCGGTATCCGCCGTAGCACTCAACCTATTAAACGGCACTGCCAATAGCGTTATTGCGCAAAATGCGCGCGATTAAAGCGGAACCTCTGAAATCGAGATCGCGGACGAATGCGAGAGGCGTCACATCCGTGACAATTAAGATGCTCGTTCTGCACACGCGATTCGGTGAAAGTACGTTGTCCAATTGCGAACAATTTGTCGTCTGCCGGACGACAATGGAAAAGTGAAATCTGTCTCCCGTCTTCTGCTGCGACAGTGGCGGCGTGTCCTTCGAGCATGGCGCGTCCCGTTTGTAAAAAAAGAAGATAAATTTAAATCGATTTGAATTGTCTTTGATACATAAAATTGTGGTATTCGCGCGAAAATTATGAACTATTTGAATTGCATTTTTCATCCTTCCCTCAATTTCGTATTCATTTTTTATAATAAAACGAAATTAGGAATTTTTATTTAGTGTCAAGATTTTTTTTTATAGCTTCAATGAGTGAAGCTCTTTTTATATCGCATTAGATTGTAGTGATACTATTGATTGACTTTAAATACAGGTTGCTTTAATAAGTTCAAACTTATCAAGAAGTGAAGACACTTCTTCATAAGATTAACGATTTATCATGAAAACTGGGTTTCGTTTATTAAGGTTAACGATTTCTCGTGAAAGTTATTTTTCGGTAGATGCTAGAAGCGTCGCGTATCGCGTTTCATGAAATTTGTAATCGTATTTCTAACTAACCCATTTATATACTCGAGAAGATTAATAGAGCACAAGAAAGCGTACAGTAAAATGAAAATAGAGTAAAATTTCGATAAAGTAAGAATAACAACGTAGGAGATAGCAAGCAGACGTGTGTTGTGTGCCGAGAGATTCACGGACTAATTGGCTCGCCCCGACCTATGCATGATTAAGACACGTTCGTGCTGGAAATTCGGCTGACCGATAGAAAGAGAAGAACCGCGCTTACTTAAGCTTCGTACGATCGTAGCGGACCGTGATTTCGATTACACGCACACGCACACGCTTCCGCGCACGCCGTATACTTTTCTATCCAGAAAGTCCGTGAACCTGATCAGGCGCAGGTGCAAGTAGAACAAGAAAGCGGACAAGTATGCGTACGTCGTCGACCTGCCCAGCTTACAAACCCGCGTGCCGCGATAAATCGCCACCGTCATCCGGCCTGTCACGACCGGTACCGTCCGACGATTAACACGCGACTTAATGCCTCATGTTCATTTCTCTCCCTTTATTAACAGCGTTTCTCCAAATTGCATGGGAACAACTGCCTCGGTTTTTCCGGGAAGTCATGACCGTGTTACATATCGAGACGAGTAAAAAAGATCAAAAGATACGAAGGAGAGTCGATTTCGTTTCGAGATTGGGCGCCCCAAGCGAATTTACAGAGAAACTCCTTCGGGTTTTAACAATAAATTGATCCAGAATTGTAGAAACGCTACAATCGTTTATTTCGGAAATTATTAAATACCGTCACGGCTTACGATTTTCAAGAAACGTAGATATTTGATGAAATCACATTAATATTAATGAATTTATATTATAAATTAATTGTTAATATATTATTACAATAACTTATCAATATTTAAATTAATCAATTGATTCATGTTAAATATACAAATCAATGGTCAATCAACGGCTGTTTAGAAGTTAACAACTGTATCATTGATAAGATTTGTGATCTAGTTTATGATCGCGTATGCATAAACGCGAACGTTTGGCTTCCGTAATTACCTCATAATGGAAATTGTTGCAATTGGCATACTACGAGATCTAGTTTCAATACAGTTATCCGTGAATATATAACCGCACTTCCCGCACCACTCTACATTTTCTTATTGTTACACAATGAAACGTGATATCTCATTAGCACGCGAATATATCTGCGAGACTAGTTTATTGAATTTGCAATCGTTATCTTTGCGCCATCACATTCATGGTATATTTATTTAATCGTTAACACGCCCGTGCGCGAGATTCGCGCAATCAAATATAAGATGCGCTCGATGTTAACGTAGATATTATGTTAATGACGAAGCGCAATGTGTTTAGAGTTGCGTGTCAAATTGGGGAAAGCATGGAAGAGTACGATAGATGCGATGCTATGTACGTAAAATCCGTATTTAGAACGATCTCCCGGGCGGAAGTGAAGACATTGGTCTCGGTACGCAGATCCCCGTAATTACCCTCCTGCAATTCTGCCAAATCAGAATACAAAATTGCCCGAGGGAGTCGGCCGGGCTCTCGTCGTCGCCCGGCCTTCTGTGAACGTGAGCCCCGTATTCGATTCGACGAATGTTCCTTTGGCTAACAGTACACGCGTTTTCGGTCACGTTTTTTTTTGTCAGCATATTTTCAAGCATTATTAACATACGGTACTCTCGTGTCGGCACAAAGGCGTCTATACAACGATTTACATTCCGCGTGAAACTGAACCGACATATCGGTCGTAGCTGAAGCTGATAAAAAGATTATTTTGCAGAATATATTGGAAGAATTAACATATTGATCAATCAAAGTAATGCGCGTACAAAATATTGGTAAAAACGTCGTTAAATAAAATTAAGATATTTTAAATTTGTACAATTTGTCTTTTTTTGTGATTTAGCATATATATATATACTACTTAATCTAAACTAACTAATTTATAAATTAAACATGAGTTAAAGTAAATTTTCAATTTACAAATTAAAAATCTTGCTAGAATTTACCTCTACGAGTATTTGTCTATCCTGAAGGGAAACAAACAGTTCGTAAAAGAGAAAGGAAAAAGGAGAATGTAGCGAAGAGTCTATTTCTTCTCGTGCGTCTTCTCGTCTTCGATGCAGTAGTGAATTTCAAGGAAGTAGAATTCGGAAGTGCTTTTCTCAAGGACGCGATTCCTCCCCGAGATTCTTCCTTCCCTTCGATAAATCGCGTAAGATTGGCATTGCGTGAAAGGTCGCAACGATCGACGACATTCGTGGAATTTTTAATACAGTCTCGCTTTTACATCGTACCAGACGACGCTGAAGAGTGCGACGACGAGAGGGTGGGACGTAAAGGGAAGTGTACTCGCGTTCATTTATTGTAATTCCGGAAAGTGTGTCCGGCAGAAGTATGCCGCCTGCGAGGCGTCGTCGAAAGAAAGAAGTCCGGAGATGGCACGGAGAAAAGACACTCTGAGAAAGACAGCGAATCGTTTTGCTTTTTGTCACGTTCGCGCGTTGCGCGACTCGGTTAAAACTTTAGTGGAATCCCCGTTATAAGAACCGCAGCACTGTATTTCGAAACGTGTATGTACGTGCGAGGTCTCGAAAAGGGCACGTGTTTCATGTAAATCGCCGCCGCCCTTGTTGGCGATGCAGCCCGAAGAGTCTTCAAACTTGTGCGACACATCGCATTCACGTTACGCTATTCGGTATACTTAACGCGCAAATTGAAAAAGTTTTGTTCAAACAAACCGTACTTGTGTCTTAAAGGTCACCAAGAAGATTAATGCTATGCTTCGATCGTGTTCACGCGTTTTATGATTAATCGCTCTCGCTAATTCTTATATTCAGCTTTCTCGTCTATATTTACTTACGTTTGCTTGCATCCACACATAGGATTAGGCTTTGAACACAATACAAAGGCAATAGGAACGGGGAATAAGCCAGGCAATAGAAATAACTCCATTTCAACTTATAATAAAAACTGAATTACTTACTGTGATTGTTCAGGTACAGGCAATAGAGAACAGAAATCCAACGCGTCAAAAATTTCTATTGCCTATTTCGTATTCCATTGCGTTTAATACATAGTTTTTGATAAGTTGAAATGTGGTTATTTCTGTTGTCGGTCTTATTCCCTGTTCCAATTGCCTTTGTATTTTGCAATAGGCTTTATTCTACGTCTATTCTAGTAAATTTTACGCGTATCGATTGCACGCTAAGTGATTAATCTCTTCTTTTCAATCGTTGTTTTTTCTTTTGAGAAATTGCTTCTTTTCACGCTGTTCGTTTCTGTTATCAGGGTGTGCGGAGTGAAGCACCGTTGGTCGACAGCAGTGCGTTGCCCTTGGAACATAGATCCGTCTATGGGGCCCCGGCTCAGTATGGCCCACCGGTCGCCCACGAAGAGAACTGGCCGCTTGCGTCGCCCGACACCCCGCAGATCAAGCATCTGCAGGTGCAGTGCGAGAAGACGCACATGCGGGTGAACATCGAGTTCGATCGGCCGTTCTACGGTATGATCTTCAGCAAGGGCTTCTACTCGGATCCGCACTGCGTCCATCTGAAACCCGGCACCGGCCATCTGAGCGCGACCTTCGAGATCTTCCTCAACTCGTGCGGCATGAGCTCGTCGGCGAACCACAACGTGGCCGCCTACGGCGCCCCGACGCCGTCCGGCAGCTACGTGGAGAACACGATCATCGTGCAGTACGATCCGTACGTGCAGGAGGTGTGGGACCAGGCGAGGAAGCTGCGCTGCACCTGGTACGACTTCTACGAGAAGGCGGTCACCTTCAGGCCGTTCCAGGTCGACATGCTGCACGCCGTCACCGCCAACTTCCTCGGCGACAACCTGCAGTGTTGGATGCAGATACAGGTCGGCAAGGGCCCATGGGCCAGCGAGGTGTCCGGCATCGTCAAGATCGGTCAGACCATGACGATGGTGCTGGCTATCAAGGACGACGAGAACAAGTTCGACATGCTGGTGAGGAATTGCGTCGCACACGACGGCAAACGGGCGCCGATTCAGCTGGTCGATCAGTACGGTTGCGTGGTCAGGCCGAAGATCATGTCCAGGTGAGTTCTAGCGTTACGATGATATTTTATATCGCTATTTTCGCTGGCAATCGCTATTTTCTTTTTATCAAGAAAGAAGGATACGAAGTCACATTTCTTCCGCAGGTTCCAAAAGATCAAGAACTTCGGCCCGAGCGCGTCGGTCGTTAGCTTCGCCTACTTCCAGGCCTTCAAGTTCCCCGACAGCATGAACGTTCACTTCCAGTGCGTGATCCAAGTCTGCCGGTACAATTGCCCCGAGCCCAAGTGTGGACATCCCGGTCTCGAGTACGGTGCACCTGCCGGCGGCATTACTCACGAATATGGCGCACCGGTCTCGCAAGGTCTTTCTTCGGAGTACGGTGCCCCGCCTGTGCCCGAATATGGCGTACCGCCGGCTTATCCCGATCCGCGACATCCCAGCGGACCGGCCGGAGCATACAGGTGAGAAAGCGAGCGAGCACTGACGCGTAAATATTGAAGAAAGCTTTTCTATGAAGCTGCCTCGCGCAAAAGAAGGTCCGCTGAATTCCATTAAGATTTCTTGCTGGGAGATTATAATACTCCTCTGAAGAGAATATTTTATTTTACACTTTTAAATATATAATTTAAAATATTCTCAGGATCTTCGTTATAATTTCATCTTTCTCGGCATCTTTCATCGAGATATTTTCTGAATAGCTTCTACGAGAATACAGAGACTAATATGTTCATTATAAAGTAGTGTTCACAATAGTAGAGATATAAATCGTCGCAAAACACAAAGTATAAATTAATTTCTTCCGCAGCGAGCCGAATCCGGACGTGGTTCCAGCGCCGCAAGCGCAGACCTCGTCCTCCTCGCCCAGCTCGACGCCGGGTGACGCTACGGCGAGCAGCTCGCCCCAAAGCCCCCAGGATAATATCCATCTCCCTCCGCCTCCTCTACCCGGCCATTCGGCGGCGTACCAGACTGTAAAGCGAAAAGGAACCGCCGGCACGGAGGAGCTTGAGGGTAATCTAGCTATTCTCGGAGGTCGACCGAGGTCAGTTGAAGGTTTCCCGGCTGAGCTCAGAGGTGCTAGGAGGCGAAGGCACGACGAGCCGCACGACCTCGAAGACGATAGCGTAAGTGTTCTAAAGAGTGCAATCTTTATTTCCACATTTCTATCAATATAATATGCGTTAATAATGAGAGTTAAAACAATTAAATGACCAAGAACTTTAAGAATAGAGTGTATATTTGAGACAAAAGACATTTTCCGAGCTGTCAGCGTAAACTGTCTTCTTCCTTTCTCAATTTATCAGCGATGTAGCTCGTCACGAATACATTATCAATGACGCGTTCTACGGTACCGTTTAGTATCCTACTATGTTGCGAATTCGCCGGTGTGTGTTACAACGGTTACCCTCAATTTTTTAGAATATCTATCACACGGTGACCTTGTTCTCCACCCACGTGTACAAACGAGCGGCGCAGGAGATGACGGACGTCAACACCTCGAGGGTCATCCAGGTAGTCGCGCCGGGCGACGTTAATTTCGCGCTGGGCACAACGAACTCCAGCAACGACACCACCGTGGTCATACAGAACGCCAGCGCGTCCACCGACCCGGAGACGATCTGCATGAGCCTACCGGGTTTCGTGGGGGGTCTGGTGATGCTGCTGCTGGTTGTCGTGGTGGCCTCCCTCGTCGCGGCCTTCCTCTTCGTCAGGGTGCGCGCCGTCGACCGCAAGAACGCCGCGATAGGCGGCACCAGCTTCGTACATCCGGCGTACGCGACCGAGAACTGCAGCATGCCGAACCCGGAGTTCGTGAAAGTCGCCAACTGAAGAGGCGTGTACGGTGCGCAAAATCAAAAAAAGAGAAACTCGCCGCATAGAGAAGGAAGAAGAAGGAAGAGATCCCCCCCTCTCCGGAGGATCGTCGACCTCGACGACGCGGGCGATGCTTCGGGACCGGCACCGCGACGCTATTTCATCCGAAACGAAACTCGAGACGCCACGTCCACCACACGTCGGAGATTCTCCTCGTCGAAAGCTGCAACCGCGTTTCTCTCCTCTCTCTCTCTCTCTCTCTCCTGTCTTCCATCGGCGGTAGCCGGTAGCTTCGTGTCTAGTCCAGTGACCAGTCGCGTCAATCCGCGCTCGTCGAATCGAGAGAGACAAACGACTATTAGATCGGTATCGATTGAGAGGGCGCGAATTCGATCGGACGTGGAAGGACGAGGGGGATCTTCGAGTAGAGAGAGCGTGTAAATAAAGAGGCCCCCGGAAGCACGAGCGAGTGGCGAGGAAGTGGCAAAGCGGAGGGAAGAGGAAGGTAAACGGGGGAAAAAGAAGCGCACTGCACTGACGCGCGTTCCACCGATCGTCCGCCGGTCGGGATCAGGTCCTTCCTCCCTACCAATCATCGCGATCGATGGAGCGCGCGCCACAGTGATGATGATGAATACCGCGGGTCGATCTCCGTTGACGCTTCGTGATCACCGCGGCGTTACCGCGTAGCGATCAACGACGTAAATTTCCACGTCTCGACGATTACTCGACGGTCTGCCCGACGGCGCGGGCGGCCCGGTATCAGGGAGCGAGAGATCGATCGCGCAATCGCCAGAGTAGTCTCTAAGGAGGGCATTGTAAATAAGCCGCGCGGGTAGTCAGACGGCCCTTCAGGACCCGCTTTCAGAGGTTCTCGCGTCTCTCCGATCACCGTGTGTTTACGCGCTATTATTTATACACGCATCGTATACTTCAAACGAGTGTTTCTTTCTTTATCGCCTTCGTTGTACCTCATCGCGTTTCGCCGTGCCCCTTCTCCCGTGCCGGCGACTTCCGCGGGGAACCGCGCGCGCGAGAGAACCGAGCTCGTTGCGTCGCGACGCTCGACGTCATACGCCGGGACGTCGGCGGCGGTGCTCGGTGGTACCGTTATTTCGCGTTCTTAAATCTTTAAGCGGTTCACCGAGCGCTCCCGGTAAACATGTTTGTGCCCTGGAAATTGGGCTGCGGAGTCGTCGAAACACGACGCTCGTCCTCTGAAAGTTTAATTTAGGGCAAGGAATCGCGCGACCCCGAGAACGAGAGGAACGCTCGCTAAGCCGCTTAAGATACAACGAGAAGACTCTATTTATTATCCTCCCTCCTCTATCCCCTTTTCTAACTCTACACCCCCGATCGACCTAACTTAATTTATTGATCAAAATTGTACGACATTACCCTTTCTTTACTCTACTTCGCTTAGTACTTAAGGTATCCGTCGAGGAATATTCCCGGAATTTGGGAATATGTTTTACGTATGTGTTTTAAGCACACACACACACGCACACACATATGCATACACGCATACACGTACACATAGACACGTTCATACAAACCGACATACACGCACACACACACGTACACGTGAAACGTATGAGATCACACATACAATGCGCGAAATGTGTTGTATACGTCTATTATACCAACGCGAGAAATGTATCCACAAAACATCCGTTATAATTAATTGTTTGAGAATTATTTTAATTACATGATCATTTTTATTTATATAAACTTGCGCGTTCCTCTTTTTTCTTGACCATTTTTCCCATGTAGATTAAAACGACAGGCGACGAGAATCGATTAGTTCTAGAGTATATACTTTGTATTTGTTTCTTCAACCGCGAAGCTCAAAATATTCAATATTTAACTTTTAGTCTCGCACGATCAACTGAAGGTGCGGCTGAGCCCGGAAAAAGGTTTGTACTTGGCAAGCATAGCTTTACGCTCTTTCGCGAATCTCTTTACCTTTCGATACTCCTTAGCTAAATCGTACAGACTGTCTTCCGATTCTAGTTTCTTCGACAATTTCTCCTGGAATCTGCATCTGTGCGACGAAGAAGCAATTGTCATATTCAGTTTGGAAACTATGTTATTGGTTTACCTCAGCATATCGCTTTTCCAATCACTTGCTTCTACCATATGAGACGCTACTTCTTTATTAAAATTCAGAATTGTACCTAATTCTATCCTGCAAAAATAAAATACGTATAACTAGTAGAAAATGTATTAATTGAACTGACACACATATATAAGATTATAAAACTTTATGGTATATGTCAGTCAAGATAATCGCAAAACCTGATGCTTTTATTTCTAGCAGAAAATCGTAGACTGATATTCCTTCGATCGATGATTCGCAAGCCAAGAAATTCATTTAATTTCATGCAAATCACTTTTATGTGATAAATGTCTTCTTTAGGAAGATGTTGATTGTCGTTTGATCTAAATACATTAATAACGCATTAATTGCAATTATTATTACAGAACGAGTAGGTATATCTTATATATAATTCTCTAATGCGTTAATTTTCAACACGCACGACAATATATAATTCGTGAAACATTATTTTAAATAGGGCAGTATCCATAAACGAGAGAGATGCGCTTAACGAAATACGATGCAATTTATTTCCAGCATGAGTATTTCCAAACGGTAGTATGTGGCGTAATTAGAATGCTTTGTTTGGATAGAATTCGCTCTACTTTTTTGCTTGACATACTTGCTCCCGGCCTCTTCTTGTCGCTCCTCGACAACAGGTTTCTGCACTTCGGCGACCTTCTTTTCCTTATTTCTCGAGCTGGACGGTGATATCGGTGTCTTAACGTTTCCGGAACTGCGAAGCCAATCAAAGGTAATCGGAACGTGCTGCGTGTGAACACATCGCTGCTTTATATGTACATACATAAATCTTTGAAAGCATGTCTCACCTTTCCGTCGATTTACCAGTCGGACGGAAAAATTCCATTTGCAACGGTTCGGTTAAATTTTCCTGCAGTTGAAAAAAAGATCGTTTTATTTCATGCAATTTATCGATTAACACTAGTATCATTTAAAATGCTAAATCTTGCATGGATAACGTAACGACTGTGCCCATTCCGCGTATAATCTCTTTACAGAAAATTTCAGGATAAATTTGTTATTCTATTTACGAGCTGTAGGAATCGCGTAAAAGTTGCCTTTACATATTTTCAATTCGTGATTCGACGGAGAAGTTATAAAGTACGTGAAAGGTTTTAGCTCCGTTCGCTTATTCATGATTGATCGAAAATCTATACTGGAAGGAAGTGGGAAAAACTCCGATAAACATCGTTCGCGCGCGCACGCACACACCGTGTATACAGTCTCGAGTATCGACTCCCTCGGATTCGCGTTCCAAGCCCAAACGAGGGGCAGACCGGCGGGATTGTCCGTAAAAATTCCTCCGATCTGGTTGTAGGACAGCCTGCAGAAGTAATTGGAGTGCCTGAATTGGCGTGCGCGCGAGAGAGCTTCTCTCTCGACAGTAATTAAACATTCTTTTGTAAATTCTTTTTCCGCGCGCGTTACCTCGCCGCGCCGTCCACGTCGAGAACGACGCCGTGTCCCATGGTGTCGAATATCGCCAAGATCTGAGACTCCCTCTCGATCGCCAATGCGTCTTTGCCTCCTGGCGTGAACACAGTATACATATCGTCTTGAAATTGATAGCAGCGATTTTTTTAAAACCCATATACGAAAGCCGGTCTGGAGACCGATTGGTATCTATGAACGCGATCGTCGCGAATCGAAACGCTTTATTGGCAAAAGGTTTGCCAAAGTTAGTTAAAAAATCTTGAAGAGTATTTAACGATCTGAGTACATAGAAAAAAAGAAGTGTTAAATCAGTATTAAATCAACTATACTTGTTATGATATACTTGTTATATACGCAAGAATATATAATCTTCTTATAAAAATTTCAACTTTTTATTTCAACTTTTTTTTTTATTAAATTATATAAAACTTCGTTTATAACTATATATAAATAACTTCATTCAAGCAAGTTTTCTTCATTTAATGCAATATAATATCATTTCAAGATTATATATTCTTGCGTATCTACAAGTAAATCAGTGTTGATTCGACACTTCTTTTTTCCTGTGTACCATTATCTCGATCTGTCTTCAATTTCGATAGACAACGATGAATTCGTAATTTAGCTGTATTGCGCATTGCATACGTATGTGTACAGAATATTCCAGAATTACCAATTAGTTAAACAATAGACGACAAGAGGAAACATGATGATGATTGTGTTTCAATATTGAAATACGAACGTTTGAAAATTTGTATAACATTAAAAATAAAATTTTGATTCTAATAACGTAAATAAAATCTGAGGTTTAATTTATTTTAATATTTTAAAAATAATGTATTTTAAAGCGTTCAAGTGTCACGCAATTAATACGCAAATTAAGTTAGGATAATAGACGATTAATTTTATTTTCCTTAAAAGACGATCGACAAAACCTGTCGAATCTGCATAGCTGTGAAAATATTCGATAGTAATGAAATACTCTGTACAAATCGCATTATGTAGATAACTCAATTACATTTCCGGTTTTCTGGTCTGTAGACTCTAATAGCCAATACGCCGTTGGGATAAAACAACTCGCCAGAACCATCGGGATGGAATCTCGAAAATAGCGTTAATCCATCGTCGTAATATACCGCGCCTCTGTGTCTGTATTTTTTGAACCTAATGTACAAACAAATTACTGCATCGTTTGCCGATTAATTACACAATATCACATGGCTCCCTGCCGTTTACGGCAGATTAAAATACATGCTTGTTTGTGATACCGTCCCATTAACTTCGTTCGTCGGTCTAATTGTTTACTTGTTAGTAACTAATCATGTGTGAAGTTGGCTGTAACATCATTTATTTAACCTGCCATTTAACCCGTTTATTTCTAAACTGCTTTAATTCGGTATTAACATGCGACTAATTTAGCTGATGAATAATACTCGCTATCGCCTAAACTAGATTAAATTGTCCTTATTGTCCTTAATAAATTAATTGTGCAATTAAAATATCGTGCTGCGTGATCTTAAGATATTAAAATCTGATAAATATAAACTTCGTGACCTTGTAGTAGGCGAATAACTGTAGTAGGCTTCCCAGACAGCACGCATGTTCAAAAATGGGACATAAAACGTCTAAAAGATGTCCTATATCCCGATTTTGGACATAGTGCTGTCTGGGTTGTTACTATTTGAAGCATGCCATTTGTATACTTCACGCTTGTATCAGTTTTCGCGTCTGGATATCAACCTACCAATTTAGGCCGGGCTTCGCCGGTATGGCTTCATATCGTACGATCTTTCTCATAATTTTGGTAACTGGCAATCGGGTCCAACCGAGCTCCACAAAGTGCGCGTTCGATAATTGGTATTCGATTGGATTTGAAGGGTCTAGACGAAACCAGGAATCTTTCTATAGTTCAAGTATGATAACGAGAATCGATCGGGTTGCATCGTTCCGCGATACGCAATGATAACGCGATTGGTACGAGAGACACAAGTGCTGGAAGCGATCTCAATTAACTCCAAGCCAAACGTTCGCGTCTTATCATTGGCATTAGATAATCATATCAAACTTAATACGTTGCTTGCCCAACAAATGTTATATGTATGTCTCACTGTGCACGCCACAGTAGAATTTTCATTATCGTAAAGTATTAAAATAATAAAATATCATTAAATAAGATTAAATAAGATTATCCTCATGAATACTGTCTTATCGCACTTTTAACTTTATATAATCATCTAGCTATTGTGTCATTTAAAATTCTATATTAATGGTGTTTGTTTTTTCCAAGTGTTTTAAAAAATATTTTAATGACGCCGATCACTACGGAAATCACTGATCACCAGGATGTCACCAAAAGCCAAACGGTCATGGATGACAAGGTGCTAACTTTGTTTTTGAACTACAAGAGAGATATATAGTTTTTCCGTAATCTGTGCAGCGTTGTATCTCAGACGAGCATGTACTTACTAGCTGTCCGTTTTCTCGCTTCCCCGGGATCGCTTCTTTCGCCGGTTGACGCACCTTTGCGCTTTCCGTTGCTCGCAGGAAGTTTTCCCTCTTCATTAACGGCGGAGCGTCCCGTTTCCGCGTCACCATCAGCCGAATCCGTCGTTCTCTTACTTCCAGACCCCTTATTCTTACTTAGACGCACCCTATCTGCCTGCTCGTCGTCCTTATCCCTCTTTTCTTTCTTCCTATCTCTACGAGCAACCGGGTTTTCCTCGCTTTCGCGTCGATCGCGTCGATCGCGTCGACCACGCTCATTCTCGAGCTCATGCTCGAGGCTCTTGGCCAGCTTCCCCGGTATCTCCGTCGCATCGTTCTTCTCCTCGACTCGATCTAATCGGTCGATTTTCTCCGCGCCGTTATCCGACAATCGCTTCTCGCGTTCTTCACCGCGACACTGTTGATAAGGATTCTCGCCGGGATTTCCGCGCTCGCCGCTTTTCCCCTTTCTACCATCTTCCTCCATCGCTATCGCGTCCTCCGTATCTCTGTCTCCTCTTCTTTTTTCAGCCGCGATCTGCGATCTGTTCGTTTCTTCTTGCACATCACGTTGAGCCGAGCCGCGATCTTGCTGGTTCTTATCTTCGACCTCGCCGAGTTCGCGCTGATGCGGATTATTGTCACGTTTCTCGCGTATTCTTTCCGCCAGCGTGTCGGTATTTCTTGTACCGTCGTCGCTACGTGCTCCACCTGCCGACATTTCGGTTTTTTCGCGCCCAAGCGAACGAATGCCGTTCGCTTCCGATAGATCTTCGTCGATGAATCCGTCACGGCGATCAGTTTCGATGCCCGATCCGATCGGACGTCCGATTCTTTTCGGATCAACTTCTCGTGAAGCGCCCGGAACGTTACGTTGACTCTTGTCGAACGCTTTCGTCGAAGTATACTGATTTGTCTTCATCCGGGAGCTAATGTGGCTTTTATAACAATTCTCGAATATCGTACGTGTGTCATCCTGACTGGTATTAATAATTAATTGCAACTCCGTACTGTTGCAATTGTGGATTCCTGCAAAGCTCTCTTCTTGCAAAACACTCTTATTGGAATAATTAACTTCGTATTCAGTATCAGTAGAAACGTCAAAATTCAATTTTGATGTATCCTACGAAAAGATAGTAAATAAATAAATATTGCACGCGAGTAAATCCGTTTGTAAAACATGCGATTTAATTGAAATTACATGCGACGCGTATAACGAAAACCATTCTTTCGATAGTCGATCAAGATATTCGGCTTCAACGCAACAATATTTTCTCTGAAATAAAAATCGTACGGAAGTGAATATCGTTGTTGCTTCTGAGGCGGATATGCAAAACTATTAAATCTTTTTGTATTTTGTTAGGGGATTATGTTAATAGCATAACAGCTCGTATTTTATACCGCGTATTGCCGAGTTTCATCGTTGATAATGCTGTCGCAGAATTTGCAGATTTTTAAATGGGATCGTGTTTCACATGGTTTTTCTCCCCATTCGCGAATAAAATTACTCACGAGATTTAGGAGAGTCTTTGTCTGAATATGCGCCGGCGGTTCTGCAATATTACAAGATATTTTATGCAATGCGAAAAGCATCGCGGTGCGAAAAATGCTATCTCTCGTGAATTAGCGAGCGTAGCAATAAAAATAACTAGAGGGATAGTTGTGCTTGTATAAATCGCAGCGCTTATGTAATTTATGAGATAGCGAAATAATTCTATCTGACGTATTACTCTGCATTTGCAAGATTTATTCATGCAGCGTATAAAACTGGTACTTGCTTAATTATTTAAATCCGAAAGAATTTACGAGGTAGATATTTATGTTACATTTATGGGTTATTAAAAAAATAATTTTTTAATACGTAAATGCCAATGAGGATTTAATATTTTTAGGGATATTGACTCACTGGTTTAGATTTTGAAAATTCTAATATTGCTGACAAAGAAAAGAACAATATTCATAGCAGTATTTTTAATCTTATTCACACACATACACATTCTTTTTTCCGTTTAATTACTATAAATTTAAATTAAATAAAATATAACTAAAATAAAATAAATTATCTACTACTTTCTAATTTATCCCTGAAAAAGTTGATACAAGATTAATAATTATAACGTACAGTCTTACATAAAAAAATTTTAAAGTCGATAAATAAAATTAAAGAAATCAGAAATCGTGTATTACAGATCTTGTTTATGTTAATAATTAATTCCCGTTAGATTTTATTTTCGCTAAAAGCTATTTTCTGTACTGACAATTATATACTTATGAAGCTTTACGATATTTCGTTTGAATAGTACTTTCAAGCACTTGGTCGCAGCGCACCATGTTCTCTACTGCTTCTTTTATCAACACAGATAACATCTGAAATTTCTTGGATGCTTGGGCGCACGGTAAGCTGGCTAATTCAGATAAATTGGATTCAATCTGAGCTGGGTAATTTTTTGTCGACGATGGTTTTATAAGATACTTCATTATAGTTTCAATCTGAAACATTTGTATACATTGCGCTTTAAATAGCACAGAGGTTTCTACTTTAGTTTATCGCGTTATTTTATTAACTTTTTCTTTATTATTATATTTACTTTGATTATATCTTCTGGTATATTCGTTGATTTAGAACAGCGTACGTTACAAAAAGTATTTGCAAATAAACCTGGCCGTTTAATTCCCCATTTGGACCGATTTTTATAAACGCTCATTGCAGTTATTTTATTCTGTCTGTCGTTATTTTATTATTTATAAATTTTTAATGCTCCTTGCAACGATATTTGATAATGAAGAAAGTAATATTGATTATAATTAAATCTGGAATAAAATGTATTATGTGCGTTTTTCATTCGATTAAACTTTTTTAATAAAATAAATATATCTTATATATCTTAAAAGAAATTATTAAAGTAAAATCTTTAATTCTGACAAAACAAAAAAAAAGATTCTCTTGTACAAAAGAAAAAGTAAAGATTTTTGTACATGTATTTCCGACAATCGCTAATATATTAGAAATTATACAATATACACGTAATTAATAAAATAAAATAAAATAAAAATAAAATATTAAAGACTTGTATGACCACTTAATTTTCTACTCTTCTTTCTATATATTATAAACAATATATTTTAAATAAATGATTATTAAAAGAAGAAAGTTTAATGCTAGGAATATGATTTTATATGTTAAATAAGGAATAAAGTACTGCCTCTCCTTAATATTTATTATAGTTATGGAAACTATAGATATTAGATATAGATATTACAAGAGTTACGAGAAAGATATATTTATAACTTTAGTTACACACTTCTAAAAATGGCGTAAAAAGAAATAAATAATATAAAATAATATTTTAAAGAGAGAAATATACTTCGTTGTATTGTGCAAATTAATCCTTAACGTCATCACATTCCTTCCGGCTTTTATTGAAATCGTTGACGTTCAGCAAGCTTCTTTGCAACGGATCGTCTCTCACGTTAATTTTAAATTTTACATGAGGTCAGTTAGAATTTCGCGCAATTTCGTATTTGATTATGGGCTTCATGGCGAATCTTTTTGGCGAATCAGTCTGCCGTTATACCATTTGTTTCGCCGATACCAATCTTGGTCGTAAATCGTCGGCTCCTCGTGACACTTTTTATCGATAAAGCGAGCCTCCGACAGGCGACAACTGACATTCGTTATACGAAGTGAGATAACCGCGTTTGTTTCAATTTTCGCGATAATCCACCGCCGCCTTTATGTTTACGGTGGCATTACTGCTATTTGCAACGCCAATAAAGTATACAGGTTGCTTTAAATTTAAAAAATATAGGTAATGGCATGGCACACACACACAGTTTAAAGACCCAAGAATAATATTGATGCATTTATAGCTTCTTTTATTGAAGCTTAATTTTAAAGAATAGTATAATATTAATGCATTTATAGCTTCTTTCGTATTGATGCATTTTAACTTATTGATGCATTTAAGCTTCTTTCATTGAATTATTGAAATATATACTTAATTTTAAGGAATACGTATAGAACATACGATTTCTCGTGCACATAAAGTACTGATTAGCGCAAAGTGGAAAGCTCTTTTATCAATCACCTTGATTGCCGCGAGAGAAGAATAACAGAATAGGATGCAAATATTCGCGTTGGTGTGCCTTGAAAGTTTTTTATGACGCCAGATATAATTTATTGGCCATTCCAAACAAGTCCCCGCACTTTTATATGCGAGAAGAGCGCGCCGCGCTCCTACAAAACTGCAATATTCATTTGAATACGACCGAAAAAGGGAAGGGAAACGGCGAGAGAAATTGCGTTGCTGAAATCAACATATCCTACGCGCTTTCGTGTTCAGTTTCGAGTAAAATAAAAGTTTATATGGAAGCTATGTATACGCGCGATTGCTTACGAGGAAGAACGTAATAAAAACTTCATCTACACACATGTTGTAAAGCGCAACGAGATAAAAATGACTGAAATATCCTGAAGTAAAGGCATAATAACGAATAAAAATTAAATTTTAAAGCATATTTTCCGAATTAATTTTCTAGAGTATGACGAAGTAGTTGCGCTCGTGTCCACTCAAAGGTATCATATATCCATTTCTCTATAAATTAAATAATTAGGTAATATGTAAAAATCCCTTCGTCATGCATCTACTTGCCGTAAAAGCAATTATGCAAAGAAATTCTAATTAATGACGCGTATATGTGCAGCTTATGTATTTCAACGCGCGTCACGAGAACGTTAATATGAAAAAGAACCGCCGTTCGCGTATAACGGTCGATATTCTCGACCGCCGATTATCCTGATATTTACGAACCTTAACGTACGAATCGAATTTTCACATTTGAACGACATATAAATTCCGGGAATACGAAATCTCGCTATCGTAGCATAAGAGTAATCGTATACTATAAACGATCTCGCGCGCATAGCGCTGCAGTTACAGAACGGGGAAGGGTTCATGTAGAATTTTTACGAGCTTCCGGGCACCATCTCAATGGCCCTCCGTCCCACGGGGGTCATATATGCGCCGGGGCGCATATATACTCTAGATTAATATAATATCGCAAGGCGCAATGTTAATATCGTCACGTGAGCGCAGCGCGGCAGCCGGTATGCGTCGTATGAGGAGAGCCTCCTTGCCCTTTGCAATAACCGTGAGAGAGGTAACGAAGCGTGCTTATATTCTAACACGCGGTATGTGTGGAATAGCTTTCCACAATAATGGAGAAATTTAAATATGCGCGTTTCCTCGGCAACAAGGTCGTTTATGACGCGCATTCGGAGAAAGAGTCTAAATTTTGGCGTTGTTATATGATACGCGCGCGTGCGAGAATGTTTGCAGGACTCGTGAATGGCACCTATAAGTTGGCAAATTCGCGATAAATATTCCGTGAAAGCACTCGGGTCATCTTCACGACCCTTAACATCTCCAATGAGAATCCTGGGCGCTGTTAAATTTCAGGATTCTAGATTTTTAATCAGCTTTTACACAAATTTTTTTGGTAAAATCACACACGTGCGATAATTTTTAGCAAATCTCACACCACCTTAGAGATTTA